AGAACTAGACACATAGAACTGAGATTCAAAATTTTTGTATTAGTTTTCAAGCTTTTGGTGTTTGTTCCAGTTTGTATCCATGACTCAATATCCTCTAGCCACCAAATATTTATGTTTAGTTTCTCCTGAATTCAGTCCTTATTGGTCCTGCTTTTACCATGGCACTGGGAGACAGTGGGAAATGAATACATTCAATGTTTCAAAAATTATATTGTCTCTTAAAGTAATGAGAAGATGTTTAATAGAGATCTTTGTGGACCAAGAACCAATGGCCACTAATGTGGACTCCATCAGCGAACTGATGCTAGCAAACACACAATTATCTATGACCACCTTTGGTATATAAGATGTGCCATCTGTATATGTTATATGGATGGGCCATATAACACATTAATCTGGAGAAAGCTGTTTTTTATGAAACTATGTACTCACCCCAAATTCCCATGAATATTGCAAAGAACACTGTTGATTCGTTATCAAACAAATGGGAGAACTGTAAAAACAACAGTAACGTCACGAAGATCAGTTAGTATTAAATGTAATACAAAAGGAGGGAAATTCTAAGTCTTTTCAACATACCACAATGTATACATACCTTTGAAGCTAAACAGGTACTATTTAGTCTCCAATAATCACACACTAGATCACAGAGTGGACACATGATCATCTGACCTCCAATATTAGGGTCACAGATTTCCATGCTGCAGGAGGAACAGCCAAGTTATCTTGAAAGTGACACGTGTTTGGGAGAAAATCTAAGCTATTATTATTAGAATAACTGTTTATAAAGCTTCTTACATATCACAGAAGGGACAAGGAAGCAGCAATTTCTGTAGTGAATCATGCTTTGAAAAACAGAATCTTTAAGAGCTCATCAATAAAAACAGATTTTCCATAAAGCACAAGGTGAAGGGCAGTTGCTATGTCTGGGTCTTTTTCAAAAATACCAATTATCTGCTGCCATGAGGAAACATTCTGAAGTAAATTCCAGGGAAATAATAACAATACTTTTAGTTAGCAGAAGATAAAGATGTTTTCTCTATTTGGGCACCTCAGTTGCACTTACCTGTTGGTGTTATGTTCCATTGATAGTAAACCATAAATAAAACAAGCTAAGCCAACTACAGCGGCAAAGAACAGCATTTCTGTGTAAAATCCAAGAAAAACAAAATAGATAGCAATTTTTTCTCCAAAATAATTCCTGTGAAAGACAGTAAAAACAGAATCAGAGGTTGGAAGAATGTTATAGTCCAGAGAGCCTTGGTATTCTATTCAGACAGGCATGAGTTCCAATTTTGGCCCCATTACTTTCTAGCTATGTTAACTCTGGTAAGGTTACTAAACTCTCTAAACTTCAGTTTCCACATCATAAAACACAGGATAATGCTTATTCTATAGTGTAAAGATTGGCGTAAAGATTAAAAGAGATGACACGTATAAGTAAGAAGCCAATTGAAGAAAATTTGAATTTTGGTTTTAAATAATAAGATAATTAGAAGAGCCTCTACATTTTAAAGAGTTTAAATGTTTTTTTAAATAAAGTGCAGAATATTGTGCAATGTAACTTCTAGCAATTAAAAAATCAAAATCACATTCATAATCTGCATGGACTTTTGCTTTATCTCCCTTTTCTAAAATCGAACACAGTACTCTTACCACACTGCATAAATTTCCAAGTTTGGATGTCTGGTGGATGTTTACAGAATTCTGACATAGGCAGCAGTCCAAGGAATTAAAAATGACTACTTAATAAAAATTCTATGAAATATGCAGCTCAGATCTTGCTTTGCAAAGAGTTGAAAAGTGACAACATTACTTGACATAAAGGTTCAAGTCTCATAACTAAGTTTTTTCTTTTTTAAAAAAAACTGAGTCCCCATTTAAGAACCAGAGAATATAGTTTTCTCTACTTCTGAATCGTTGTTGCTGTTTAATCAGATTAATCCTCCTCCTTATTCATACA